GCTCTGGATTCTTGGGTGCCAGGCTCGGCCCCTTGCAATGAAGAAGGTACTTGGAACGGACTGCTTTGTCACAAGGGCATTGTCACCGGTTTGCGTCTTGAAGGGATGGGATTATCAGGAAATATTGATGTTGATGCTTTGGTCTGGATTAAGGGTTTGCGTTCTTTCAGTGTTATTAACAATTCCTTTACAGGGACCATTCCTGAAATCAATCGTTTGGGTGCTTTGAAGGCTTTATTCTTGTCACGGAATCAGTTTTCGGGTGAAATCCCAACGGAGTATTTTGCCAAAATGGAGTCATTGAAGAAAGTTTGGTTATCACATAACAAATTTACAGGGAACATTCCATATTCATTGGGTCAGTTGCCCCATCTCATTGACGTACATCTCGAAAACAATCAATTTAGTGGACATATTCCGGCTTTTAATTCCCCAAGTTTGAAGTCTGTCAATTTGTCAAACAATGAGCTTGTAGGGGAGATTCCTTCTAGTTTGTCAAAATTCAATCCAAATTCATTTGCGGGAAATCCAGGTCTTTGCGGAGAACAGGTGGGTGTTGACTGTAGCAAGGCAATCGATAGATCCCCGGAACCAATGCCAAGTCCAGAAAACACTGCGCCAGTTGTCCAGGATCATGGACGTAAAAATGATTCCAAAAAGATCATTGCTGCAATCATAACGCTAGGGGTGATGCTACTTTCAGTGATTCTCTTCTTTGCAATTAGATGGAGGAAAAAGAAAAAGGGGGATTCCGACGTGCTTGGAAGGGGAAGTCCTGACGGGGCAGTTTCGGTGCAGGTTTCGGTGGCAGCTAGAAGAGAAATGGAAGAAAGCAGAAAGAATGCAAGCTCTAGCAGTAGAGGGTCTAATCATGCAAAGGGCAGTGCTGGTGTTATAGCCGAACTAGTGATGGTAAACGATGAAAAGGGTGTTTTTGGGTTGCCAGATTTGATGAAGGCGGCAGCAGAAGTGCTTGGAGTTGGAGGGTTGGGATCTTCTTATAAGGCCGTGATGGCTAATGGAGTCGCGGTGGTGGCGAAAAGGATGAGGGAGATGAATGCGCTAGGAAAAGATGCGTTTGATGCAGATGTTAGAAAGCTTGGAAAGCTACGACACCCCAATATTTTGACACCTCTAGCTTACCATTACCGGACAGATGAAAAACTTTTTGTCTATGAGTACCTTCCTAAAGGCAGTTTGCTTTACCTATTGCATGGTATAAAATTATCTTCCCCTCAAGTTTATATTTTCTGCCCTTGTTTCTTATATTCGTCTCCAATCCTTGAATGAATAAATTTTGCCTTTTTCTCTGTTTCCGTTTTGGCAAAAAAAGGCTGAGAATCCATATTAGGATGCGTTCAGTAGCGTGATGGGAAATGAGATGAAGAGGTTTCTGAGGACATTGAAATGTGATATTGCTCTTTAACACCTGAACATGCCCCGTGGTTCATTAGTCATTTCGTTGTCGATTAGAGGAGTACTGACTAGCTTTTTCCACTTTCTAGCTTCACAATCATTGCATAAATGTTCTCCAATCTGCTGTCGTTTTTGAACTCATTCAGCATTTTCATTCCTGTGTATGTTTTATGTCCTTATACGCAATAGTCTATCATCCATGGATTCTGATAAGAACATATAATTCTCCAGGTGACCACGGCACGTCCTGTCCTGAACTTGATTGGCCTGCCAGACTAAAGATTGTGCAAGGAATTGCCCAGGGACTGGATTATCTTCACACTGAACTTGCTTCTCTTGATGTGCCTCATGGAAATCTGAAATCAAGTAATGTTCTGCTCGGCCCTGATAATCATCCATTTCTCTCGGACTATGGGTTTTGGCCATTAGTAAACACTAACGGGGCACAAACCCTGTTTGCATATAAGACTCCGGAAGCGTTACAACATGGAATGGTATCCCCTAAAAGTGATGTATACTGCCTAGGAATTATCATTCTTGAGATCCTTACAGGGAAATTCCCTTCTCAATATCTTAGAGATGGCAAAGGTGGGACTGACGTAGTCCAATGGGTGACATCTGCATTTTCAGAAGGGAGACAAGCTGAGTTGCTTGATCCAGAGATTGCCTGCTGCCAAAATTCACTTGCTAGCATGGAGAAGCTCCTCCATATAGGCTTACTTTGCACTCAAAGTAGTTCTGACCAGCGATTGGAGATGAAAGAAGCCATTAGAATGATAGCGGAGATAGAAGTAGAGGGAGGCATAGAGTTTCACTCTCAGGCTCGAACAATTGAAGTCTTACCATCTCTTCGAGATGGAATTCCAGATGCAGCAACTAGTAACTCATCTAGTTTCCTAGAAGGGAAAGGTGAGCACGCAACAACGAGACATGGACCATAAAGCTTTGAAGATAGCTCAGGGCGTCGTGGTGGTGAGTTTGTCTTTGCCTTCTAATAGCCAGCTACAAAGCAATTACGTGCACAAGAATTTAAAGAGAAGTATTGATTTTAGGATGTGGAAACTGTCTGTATTTAATTCTCAAGAGAGAATGAGTTCCAGTTGCTTCTACAACGATCTCTAGGCCCCTCTTGTAGAAGTTTTAGGTTTTAAGTTAAATATGAACAAGGGTGAAGAACATGTTGAAATCTAAGCTTAGACTTTCCAATTTCTTCAAACCTATAACTTGCCTAGTTTTAACTTTGCTGAAACATGTTTTATAAGTATTCTATATTGTTTGAATAACAACTTAAGGAACTATGTTTACTGCTGCTAAGCTAGTGTTTGCAGGAACTCTAAACGAGGATGGGCAAGAAAAGAGGTTAAATTTGAACCTTAACTATTCATTAAAGAAGCAACTGCCAGTAAATTAATTCTGTAAACAGGATGTTCTGGCTTGTAGCTGTACAATCAATACAATATCCCGTCCCAGAAATCAAAGGGTTTTTTTTTTTCCATATTGCTTTTGTCCAAAAATCTCATTTTCATCGACAAATATGAAGCTAATCTCCCCTAGATTTTCCCAACAAGTTCGACTTTTAGCAAGTCGAGGACAATGGGTGGTGTGCCAACCCCCAAAAAGGACTTTGCTGTAAAGTAATAGAGGTTGGCTTCACTGTCTCCATCTAAATTCTGATTAAACCAAGATTTTTGGGATTTTCTGCATTATATCAAGCCCAACTGTTTGGCCTCAACACTCTGCTTCTGACAGATTAAAAACATTATAGTAGTCAACTCATCTCTACATCATATAGCTCAATACAGCTGGCATACAGCAATAAGCATACGTTTGCCATAGAATTATATAACTTGAACATCTTCCCGAGTTCCCATACTTGCACACTGAACCAGGACAGTGATTCTTGGGCTTATTATAATCGATTGGAATTTTCACTAAACACTTGGGTTAGAAATGCAAATTTTGTATGCCTATATAAATCAGGTTACCCTTAGGACCAAGACAAAAAATATAATCGATGGTTATTTTCATGCTTTCCCCTCCTTCAAGTTCATGTAAATAGTGAGCTCATACCAGGACTCAGCCATGCCTTTTACAGTAAACAAACAACCAGTGAGCTCATTTAAAAATTTTATAGTAACAATTGACATAAATTTAAATATACCGTCAATTGTGAAATTCAAGTCAATAAATAGGGAATATAGTGAGAAAGTAGTGAAAAATTCAAGAGTTTTTAGTAGTAGTGCCAGTGTGCCTTATCCCTAATGAGACAAATTTACTACATAAATTTTTAGTAGTACCTATCAATCCAACTTGTATCTTTTAAAGTCAAAAAATCTTGTGCCAGAAGAGCATTACCACAGGGAAGAAGTACATGAGGAAAAGCCAAAACTCTTGAGGTTTTTTTCCAGTATCTTGATTACCCTGCAAGCAAGCTGCAGCCAGCCACTCGTGCAACTCCTGATTTAAAACCCATTCCTCTCTCCTCTTCATTGTTGTTATTGTTATATTATTATTACTACATTAATCAAGATTCATCATAAAATCCTCAAATTAATTATAAAAATAAACTGTACAACGACATATTTCATGTCATTGAAAACTTGATTTATGTAAATAGAAAATTTTACGTGCATTTAAGAATGCATGCACGTGAATGTAGGCCTAATTTGGCAGTAGATTAGTTGACATCATTTAATTCATCATTTAAATCTTTGATTAATTTAAGATGTCATGTCTGTGGCCCAGGGCAGCAAGGGTGAACAGGAATATATGCTAATTAGGGAGTAGCCTAGCTTCCAGCATGTTAAGCTGTTGCTTGGCTGTCCCACCGGGAAATGCATCTGAAATTTCTGAATTATGGTTAACGCATTAATAAATAATAAAAAAAAAGACTACAATTGATAACTGGAATTAGGAAACAACGATCCACTTAGTGAAAATTGATGTATAGGCAGTTTGGAATTTATAATTAATAAGGTGTGGACGTAGCACAAATTGAGCTATGATCTAGAATTGATAGAACGATAGCTGATTTTGTTGTATGAAATTCATTGATGGTGCAAAGAAGAAATGAATTAAAAAACAAAAAGAAAGGAGAAGAGAAAAACATGTGGGGAAGAAGGGCAGCCGATCGTGCAGAGAATGTGGATGGGCCTGGACCCATTTCAAACCTTAAAGAGAAGGCCCGGGTTTGATCCTATTGGGCAATCAAATCGGGACCATCAAATAATAGAGTAGAGAGCGACCCACTGGAAATTCTCAATTTTCTATTTATTTTTATTTTTCACAAATTCATTTTGTTTTTCAACAAATGAAATCAGAGGGAACAGGAAAAAGCAGAAGAAAAGTCCAATAAAAATAAAGATTCAAGAAAAGGCAGAAGTAGCAAAATTCGCGGCAAGTTCGACGGCGGGAGACCCAATCGGCGGCGACTGTGGCAAGAAAAAGAGAAAAAAATCTAGAAGAGAAAATAAAGAAAAAAGTCAAAAGTGTCAAAATTGAAAGTCCAAAGATAATAATCCTTGAAAATTCCACAAAAGAGACCCCACTTTTCCTTATCTCTCTCTCTAAATTCACGTTCAGACAAAAATCCCATCAGCTGCCTTACTAGACCACCCACTTTACATTTCATTATTAGCTCTCTTTCTCTCCGCCTCTTTCCCTTCCTCTCGCCACACCGCACCACCATCTTCACCTTCTCCCCCATAACAGTCGCCACCTTTTCCAATATTCTTACAAAACAAAACAAAAAGAAAAAACCAAATTCAGTCCTTTGCTTTTCCTTAACCTTTTCCCAAGATTCCAAAAAAAGATTTTTTTCCCCTTTTTGCTAATTCTGCAGTTTCTATTTTTTTATTTTCTGAAAGTTAGTTATGGAGCCGCCGGAGAGCAGTAATAAGGACGGTCACGGCTACGAATCGGCGGAGAAAATAATTCTACGGTGGGATTCAACGACATCGGAAGAAGCAAGAGAGAGAATGATCTTCGAAACGGATCGTCAGGAAGCCGATCTTTACCTCCAGGCCGTCGATGAAATCCAACGGTCCTTATCCAACGCGTCAATCTCATCCTCTTCCAACAACGCCGCCGATGAACAGTCAAAAGTCGACACCACAATCCAGATCGCCATGGCTCGTCTCGAAGACGAGTTCCGCAATATTCTTATCACTCACACATCCGCTTTAGAAACCGATTCTCTCGTCGATCCCATGTCGTCTTCGACATCAACTCCTTCTCTTCACGAGCTCGAAGAAGACGACAGCTTAAGCAGCCACGGTAACAGTAGCAACCACCTTCTCCAGCTTCAGCACTGTGAATCTTCGGATAGTTCGAGTTACCGATCTACGAGCAGTATCCGAGAAGTGGATCTGATGCCGGCCGAAGCGATTTCCGATTTACAGGCGATTGCGATGAGGATGATCTCGTCTGGTTACTTGCGTGAGTGTATTCAAGTGTACGGGAGCGTGAGGAAATACGCCGTTGACTCGAGTTTTCGGAAACTCGGAATCGAGAAGCTCAGCATCGGAGATATTCAAAGGCTTGAATGGGAAGCTTTGGAGAGTAAAATTCGGCGGTGGATTCGCGCGGCTAAAGTTTGCGTCAGGATTTTGTTTGCCAGCGAGAAGAAGCTTTGCGAACAAATCTTTGAGTGTGTCGGAACGGATATCGATGACGCGTGTTTTATGGAAACTGTTAAAGGGCCAGCAATTCAGTTATTTAACTTCGCGGAAGCTATAAGTATAAGTAGGAGATCTCCTGAAAAGCTTTTTAAGATTCTTGACTTACATGATGCTTTGATGGATTTGTTGCCTGATATTGAGGCGGTTTTCAATTCGAAGTCATCGGATTCGATTCGAGTTCAGGCTGCGGAGATTTTGTCCAGGTTGGCTGAGGCGGTACGAGGGATTTTGTCCGAATTCGAAAACGCAGTTTTAAGAGAGCCGTCGAGAGTGCCTGTCCCTGGTGGGACGATCCATCCTCTGACTAGGTATGTTATGAATTATATCAGTTTGATATCTGATTATAAACAGACTTTGATTGAGCTTATAATGTCGAAACCGTCTACGGGTTCGAGGTATTCGGGTGATCCATCCACCCCGGATATGGAGTTTGCTGAGTTGGAAGGCAAAACCCCTTTAGCTTTGCATTTGATTTGGATTATTGTTATTTTGCAATTCAATTTGGATGGCAAGTCTAAGCATTACAGAGATGCATCTTTGGCACATTTGTTTATAATGAATAATGTTCATTACATTGTTCAGAAGGTTAAAGGGTCGCCCGAGTTGAGGGAAATGATTGGGGATGATTATTTGAGGAAGTTGACAGGGAAGTTTAGGCAGGCCGCCACGAGTTATCAGAGAGCTGCTTGGGTGAGGGTTCTGTATTGTCTGAGAGATGAAGGGTTGCATGTGAGTGGGGGTTTTTCTTCTGGGGTGTCCAAGAGTGCGTTGAGGGAAAGGTTTAAGACTTTCAATGCTCTGTTTGAGGAGGTTCATAGGACTCAAGCAACATGGTTGATACCTGATGCTCAGCTTAGGGAGGAACTAAGGATTTCTATGTCCGAGAAGTTGATCCCTGCTTACAGGTCGTTTCTTGGGCGGTTTAGGAGTCATATAGAGAGTGGAAAGCACCCAGAGAATTACATCAAGTATTCAGTTGAAGACTTGGAAACTGCTGTGTTGGATTTCTTTGAGGGAAACCCTGTGTCTCAGCACTTGAGGAGGAGATCTCAGTGAAAGGAGTGGAGGTGAGGTGAGGTGAGTTGAGTTGAGTTTTGCCATGGTAGAACTAGGAGACATTCTTTCAATTTTTTGTGGGGGTGTTTGGGCCATGTGGAGCTGGTGAATCTGGGCTGCCCTGAGCTCTCCAATCTGTTTAATAATGGTTGATTGAATTATTTTTTAATGTTGAGAAAGCAACAAGTTGTTTGGGAACATCAGGTGTTAGCATTCCAGAATAGCCAGGCGCCGAAGCCTGGATGCTTTCTGCACTGTAAGCATTATGTTGGTTTTGTTACCACATTCTAGATTTTGTTCCATTTGTTCATACGGTTAATGTTGCATTTGTAATTTTATATGTGTGTTTGCTTTTATTATTAATTATATGATATGGAGATTTTTTTTTAAAATTTTTTGCCACATTTTAAGTTTGCATACCGCTTTGATTGAAGCATTCTTGATTGTAAGTAACTAATTATCATAGGCATTGATGTTTAAGGGAAGCATTCTTGATTGGTGGTATCTCTCCTTCAATTACATGTATGGATGGAGACAAATGATGGGGGCAAGCTCAAAATTGAAATGTGATATGCTGGAACCTGGAAGTTGGCCTGTCATTTGTCAAGTCAACTTCTCTGGTTTTTATCTTCTAATATTCAACTTTATTGTATATAAAAAAGACTCGGTATACGTTAATGTGTCTGCTAATGGGATTTAGGGCGAATTTATGAGTCACACTCCAACTGCTCCAATTGGTTATCGTCGAAGATTTCTTTCAAACTGGTTCATCGGTATTTGACGTATGCACTAGCTAAAGTAATTGGCCGCGAGAACGGCGATTTGCTTGAAATTCAAGCAGATGATGGCTATTAGGTCAAATCAACGCCTGCCGATGCATTACTTTATAGGCATTTATTAATTCCTCTCGTTGATCATCCATACAAAAGCACAGCGGAAACGTCAAAAGGCTGCTTTTGCAATTCATGAATAAATGAGCATGCAAAAATGATTAGTGCTCTGGTAGCATAAGATAATTGAAATGAAGGATACTTCCCTGACCTTTCACCGTTCTTTACCCTTCATAGATAAATTAGTGACTCTCAAAAGGCTCCGTTATTGGTCAGAGACGCTATATTCTTCCAGGAAGTTGCTCAATTTCTCAAAAGAAACACAAAAGAAGGCTAGTGTCACATGCGATTTAAAAAACAATAGATGGTTATTGGTGCATGATTTTCTACTTAAACAAAAATATTCACTTCTTTTTCTCAATTAAAAGAAAAAAAAAACCCCAGACGGCTTGTAACGTGACTCATGTCCTCTCTATTTCTTTCTAGAGGATCAATCACATCCTCCTTGTTAAAAAATAAACTTTTAAGAACAAGGGATTAAGCTCTAACTAAACTCGAAATTAAATAACATCCAGGAAGAGATAGGTGGCCTACGCAGCTGGCTTCTCATTGCTTGATTTTCTCCAATCTTAGATGATACCTGTTTGATAATGATAATAAAGAAGCTAATTAAATAACATGTCAAACTATATTAATCTCAAAGAGGACGTTGCACGGATTGCCTGTTCCCTTGGTAACAACTAACTGATGAACAATTTAATGACTAACTAAACAAATACAAAGAAACAATATGACCTTTGGGGTAAAGCAAAAAAAAAAAAAAACAAAAGAGAGAAAAGGGGAGGGGAACGAAAAAGCTCAACGGCTGACTTTTGGTTGTCATGATTGCCACCTTCATATCATTACGGTCCCAAGAAAAGTTGAATCATCGTTACAACAATGACAAGGCCTCCAATTAAGTGAATCAGAATGTTGAACCCAGTTCTAAGCATCCCAGATTCACAGCTGGGGTTTTTAAGTCACTCTGTCTTGTCTTCTTCCAAATCACCATTTGATGCCCCATTACCGCCCTGCACTGGTCTAGCCTCTGGTGCACTTCTAAAATCTTTTGAAGGTGTTGGAGAGGGTTTTATGAGTGTCAAAGTAGTATTATCTTTGTCAAAATCTTCATTTGCTTCATCAGAGTAAGCATACCTATTAAGATCAGAACAACCAAATGGTGAGTGCACAAGAAGTTGCAAAGACATTGAAATAAGTTCTCCAAGCACCAAACCGACATTAAAAAAATGCTGGAACTTTAATTGAGCCACAATGCAGCACAGCTAAGAGTCTCTAATCTCACTAACACCGATAAAACCAACCAACATATTATAATCAATCATATAAAGTCATCTCAAGTTTCTGGGTATTACCTTGATTTACATTCAGGAAATACTTTAAGCAATTAGATAGCATGATTTTTTTTTTAAAAAAAAAGTCCATAAAATGCTTTAAACAATTAGAAAAGGGATGGCAGAAAGAGATGATTAGGGTTCAACAAGCTAGATCTTTACCGCATTGAATTCTGAGAGGGTGCCCAAAGAACACAGATGACACATAGCAGAGAGAAAGATAAGACTTGCCAGAAGGCTGGGATGATCCAGGCATTCTGCCACTGCTCATTGTAGACATCATTTGACTTGAAATAAAGCTGAAAATACAGTGTTACAAAAGATGTAAGATGCACGAGGTTTTACACAACAATGCCATTTCTAAAATGTTAATTTATATTTTGCTCACACTATCCATTGCAGTTTTTGATTAATCCATTTCATGCTTCCTAAATTAAAGATGCAAGGTTGCACAATTAAACTGCTTGCGTGCTCTTTATCTTCTTGTAAATTACATGCTAAACTTAAGTCCATTGCTAAAGAAGCTAAAAAAAAGTATCCAAGATAAAGGACTTGACTACCTCGTAGCATATCCAGCCCACGGACACAATAACAGCTACTGCCAATGCATTTGTGAACTTCCTGTATATATCCAGCTTTACCACCATCCTTCTAGACTGTTGCACCCAGTAGTGAGAAAAAATTGCAAAATATTTTACTTAAAGTTCAAGTGTCATCACTTTTAATATTAAAAAAACAATAAAATATGGGTGATTACTGTTATTAACTTGCATCATAGAGTTTGCCAAAACTCAATAGACAATGAAATGCATTCATGAGCATGTGTTGGACCATAGATCAAGCAGCAAATATTATCTAGGAACCATGCCTATTATTAGCTTCTTTATTACACCGTCAATTATTTCTATTAGTAGAAACAAATTGATGCACCTGGATTTTAAAGCAGTAGAAGGCACAATATGCAAGGGATAGCTTTTTTTATTTAAGTTCATAATCAGAAAATTCAATGTTTCTTTCCATTTAATTATAACAAATATTGTTGCTGGAGGCTGTTAACTTACAACGTGAAGGAACTTATAAGGATCTCCATTTACTTCATATTAACTAAACATCAAAGAATTTATAAAAATCTCCTCTCCTATTTTTGTGAGGATTCTAATTATTCATATGATCATATGCTGTCAGGATCAATCATCACTTGTTTATATCCAATTGCAAAGGGTGAAGATGGACATCTTTGTCATAGAGGATCTAAAGAATTCACTCTTAAACATGAATGAGTTGCCAAGGAAAAAAAAACAAATATTGCTATTATCTTGACATCACTGACAAAGATAAACAAAAAATTACCTGAAGTTTATTTAAATTTGCAGACAGAGAAGTAAAGATCCAAAGAATGAAGAAGGCATCTAAGATGGCCACAGGAAGAACCAAAAACAGTCTGGCCTTTCCAGAAAGATCACTCACTGCACCAACATTTTCTACCAATTCAAGAACTTCAGATGCCAGAAAGAAGGTTGCTCCAAGCATGATTACCTTTGATGTAAGCCCACCAAGAGTAGGTCTCACAACACCATAACCCATGGAAACCATCAAAATAATAATCCGTGCAATTGTACGCTTAATAGTACCAAAGGTGACTGCCCATATGGTGATCCCAACAGGCCTGATTCCACTCTCATTGAATTCAGCATAATCAAAATACCAAAGAGCCATCTCAAGCATGCCAAGTGTTATCACTAATGTTATACAGTTTTGCAAAGGAAGAACCTCCCTCCAAAATCTAGCATATTGTGAGAACCAAAAGATTCCAAGGATCACAAAAGCAAGGGACATGAACCCATAGAAATTCATCAGTGGTGCCATTCTACCAGGTAGATAGCCAGTAGGATTTTTCCATACAGTTTTCCCCTCCACAGTCAAATCTCTAAGATTTAAATCACAGTGAATGAAGTACAAATTATACATCCCAGTTTTAGTAATTTGAACAGACTTTGATGGCAATGTTGCAACCTCCTCATCTCCATTAAATGAAATGCCAAACACTGTGGGCCAGCTAGGATTCTCTGCGGAAGGGCGGCGAATAACTTCTCCTTCCAAACAAACACCCAGTTTTGCAAGATCCACCGTGCAACAAACAGCTCTTTGACCGCCATAAGCTGAACCTCCAATTGTCTCTCTATCTTCCACCTCAAAAACAATTGCTTGGATCGACCGGGAACTAAAGTTAGCAAATTCTTTGGGTCTACGGAATGTAATCTTCTCAAAACTGGTTCAAGATTACCACACAAAATCAGGCATTCAAAATGAAAAAAAAAAAAAGAAGGAGAAACATCTTCAATGCTCTCAGGAATTCAAACATCTAAATCAATTCCACATTGATAATCTTATTTGCAACATGGTTTTTTCCCTTTTGTTGCTCTAATAAGTAGGTACTATGTTTAACTTGACTTGACCGGACCACTTACTTAATTAAAGAAAATTTAGCAAGAATCTCAGGTTTTTGAGAAAATTTAATATTTTATTCTCTTCGGGTAGAAAAAAGTCTGATCTTTTAGTCCGTTTTACTTAAAATACATATTCTTTAAATCTGTTACCACTGTTTCTAGCCAAATTCGTCTTGCCACCAATTCTAATTCAGTAGCAGATCCTAACAGTTCTCAAATCCCAAACATTTCCAACTTAAAGCCACTAAAACCATCAAGAAAATAAAGAGATCTAAAAGCCAAAAGCAGTATATACTTACATACAACATGGGAATTGTGAAGAAAAACATGGGAAAGTGAAAATTACCGGATGTAAGAGTCACCACCGACGGCAGTTACATTGTGGGGGTCAGGAAAAGAAGAATAAATGCCTTCGCTGCCGCCGTGGACGACGAATGCGTTGCCTTTACTGACGAATTTCTCTCCATTGTACTCATGAACTGAAGCGTCACCGATAAAAAAGAAGAAGAAACACAAAAGGGATAGAAGGAATGGAGAATTTTGAAGCTTCAGCATTTCCAACCAGAGTTCTATTAGTTAGATAGAAAGAAAAGATGGAGCTTTTGGTTGGATCTGCTGATTTGCAGAGTGAAAGGAAACCTTCTTGTACTTGGAGAGAGCTAAACGCTAAAGGCCAAAGTAAAAGCAGCAGGTAAACCGTGTAACTATAATTTATATTAAAAAAGAATGAGAGAATGATTAGGTACGGCGTTAACAGGCAAAGCTGAGGATGATTTAATCCTGACCGTTGGTTATTCGACTTTTGGGTTTAACGTAAGATTAGAAACAGGCTAATCATCATTGAATTTCCTCAAGCGGTGCTTTAGATTAATGCTTAATTAATGATAAAAGAAGTGAGAATTGGTGTTACTTGTTAGAGCAAGTGGGAACACTGTCCGTTTATTTGTACCCACTCCCCAGTTTTTGTCAATAAAAGTAACGGCAATGGGCTTAACAATGGCTAGGAGCTATAAGCCATGCCCATGGGCCATGCCTGGGGTACTGGTTAGAATTATGCATTTCCTATCCAGTCATCAGTACTCTGTCTTTAAATGCCCAAAAACTCCCACAACAATTCTTCACATGAACCTTGTCTCCCTTTAAATAAAGAATTTGTATCTCTGTATTCTTTTCTTGGATGTCAGAAAACACACAAGTCATCAATAGCCTCTGGTTTTGTTCCCTTGTTTGATGATCAATCACACATTTTAAACATTAAGTGCCTTTCAGCTATCTGATTCGGGTTTGAGCCTCTGATTATTGTGGACCTGTGACAATATATCTTCTGTTTGAATTCCATTGTACGTTCCTGTTTCTATTTTATCCACACGCAAAGGAAGTTCTCTCTGGCATCAATGTCAAGAAACAAGCGTTTACTGCCGTGCAAAGCAATTATATATGAGAATTCAACATAACTTGGAGACTTCCAAGTTCCAAGGTAAATCTCTGAATATTTAGTAAAAGCCAAAAAAAAAAAAAACTAAGTTAGAACACCCGTAAATTGCGGCTAAGCTTTGTCAGATACATGGTTTGCAAATGTTACAAGAATTTAATGCTCTGAGGGAAATGAGAGAAACAAAGAGATGATGGAGCTGATTCTAGCCTACACATCTCCTACACCAACCGCCATAAAACTTGCGGATTGCCAAACAGGATGCAGGAAGCATAAGTTAGTCCAAATCAAGGAACTCCATTCGTTTCCTCATTGTACCTTTAAGATCTGTCGCGTCCCTTTCTGCTTTCTGTGCCTGCATATGTTGCAATGCTATTTATTAAGAAACTCAAATCAATAACAAAAGGGCATTCTTAACAGGGAAACTATGAAGACACCAATCATTCCAGAAAAAAAAAAAAAAAGCGGGTGCTCCGTAAATACTTCACAACATATATGCATGCAATGAACTAGTTTTTGCCCCCCAAAAAAAATAACAAAAATAAATCTTTAAACAAAACAGTGTAACTACATTCTAGACAAAATAGAGTTATCTACCAAAATATCACAACATATTTTAATTAATTGCGTTTAAACATTTAACTGATATGTCAAACCATTCTCAACAAAGTAGCGTCTGTAAGAGGTGAGGCATTTGGTTTCCAGATTATGAAGAGAAATGAAGTGACTAGAAAAAATGATTCTGTATATATATGTAATTGCATCTTAAGCATATGAAATCATGCAGCTGACATAATTGGTGATTCACTCCAATCATTAGGCAACATGCATTCCTACCCAAAAAACTGGGTTGAGGGAACAGGTCTGGCACAGCCAATTTCTTTTAAACCATTTTTTGTTCTTATGATTGAATTAGTAAACCAAGTACTATTAAGCATGCCATTCAAAGAATTGATGTAGACTACAAGCACAAACAGCTGGCTTTTATTATCTGTGAAGATGATAATTTCTTCCACAAAAGATGTTTTACTATTATAAATAGTTAAAATTTCCATAATTTATTCTTCCTATACAAAACATCAGGAGATATGGACAAAATCACAAGAAAAACCTACTTATGCTCTCCATTGGACCCATATTAATGACCACAAAAATCATTCATCATGTCACCCTTTTCTCCACCATCCTCATGTTCAAAATCCATGTGAATGCTTAAAACTTAGAACTATCTAAGCATCTGAATTTATTGACTTCAAAGATTATCATGTTTTACTCTATATAGTTTTTCTACATGGCAACATTTTAAAAAGTGATAGATCTCCACATAGAAATTGAAGGTGCTCAAAAATTAAAAAAAAAAAGAAGAGCTGATAAGCTTTCGGAGAGCCAAATGTGTCTCAAAGGAAATTCTGTTGGTAATGGAAACACATAGTAAGGCATACAAAAAAATGACTGAAAGACTTACCCTTCTAATTTCTGCTGCTGAAACACAAGTCATATGTGGAGGAAGTTCCTGTCTCTCCAAGTCCTAACACATCAAAAGCAAATAAGAGCACAAGAATGGAACAAACTAAAGCAAAGACTCAAGTAAGTCAATGAAACAAGATAACTTAGCTAAGTCATACCAGCTCACCAATCAAGACAACATTCTCCCCACGGATTACATATAGACCTAAAGGAATGTCGCAATACAGATCACCAACAATAACTCTCTCACAAGCACCCTCAAGAACAGCATTGGCTGAGACAAATTTAAAAATTTCAGAGACCAGAATAAAATGTTGTCATGTGAAGTCAAATAAAGTTAGGTGAGAAGAAGAAATTCGTACCAAATTGGTCAAAAGAACGTAAAGTTCCCATTAGCTTTCGACCATCCCGCAGCAGCACTAAAAGTTTTTCTGCATCATATATAATAGAGTGAGGTGCCAACCATAGGTAACACAAAAAAAAATGCTCCAAACATATGTTTGAATCAAACATCACATCTAAATGCTCTACAAAAGATCCATGTCTTGCTGAAAGTGATGATTAAAATAGAGAGATGTCACTTAACACACTAAAACCTTGTAACCATATCAGAAAGCTCCAGAAAAGATAAAGCAGTTAAGCAAGAATATGACCATGATTCATTACAGTTCAGCAGCCTATCATAATTTAGACAGTGTTGACCAGAAAGACTATCAATAATCATGCAACTGGCCAATCCCTTGAAAATTGAAAAATGTTCAATTTTCTTCCATAATAAACCCTGAACTTCCAATCCTACTGAACACTTTACATAATCAAATCAAACTTCCAACTGATAACTTCCACTAACTATATGCTGATTATTAACAAATACATGGGTCATCCGAAAAGACACTATTAAATAATATCTAAAGTTGATTGCAGAGTCTTCCACCATAAACGTTTAAATTAAGAAGACTCATGAGCTTGAGTATGCAACAACAAATTCAACACCCCATAAGCATGTAAACACAGGACAGCGACAATTGCTCTTACTACAGAAGTAACTCAACAGCCAATGCCAAAAAAACATGACTTTTTTAGCAAAATATTAATCCAAAAACACCATTAATTTAACGGCAATAACAAAAGAGAGAAAGAGAGAACGTACTGTCAAGATAACTGGCAAGAGAAGTAGAAAGGTAGATATCTTCAGGGCCTGCCCAAGACATTGATCAACTTATTTTTCGGTCTCTCCAAAAAATTCACCGAAAAAAATACAGCTTTTAAATACCAAATACCCAAATATGGCATTGGCTATTCAAATTTCTCCCTTTTTTTTATCTAACCCCGACCTCCAAAAATACAAATGAAAAAAACAATATAAAACCTCTCCCAAAAAAAGGAAGCAACCCAGACACGTAAATATCACGAATTACCCAAAAACCCAAAGAAATTCCCACAATTCTATGCTGCTAGATCCAAAAAACCTCTAACTTAAAAAAACCGTGGAAAGTTAGGAAGTTGGGTCTCTTTTTCTCTTCCGGTTTGAAGGGACTAAGTGGGGTTGGAGAAAAAAATACAAGAGCACTCAGATCCAATCGTGCCGGAAGAGAGAGAAAATTATGAGGAAACCCAATAAAATGCGGGAAAATTAGAAAAAGAGTGGAAATGGATTGGTAACTAGGGTTTGGGATTTAACATGGTGGAAATTGGATCTATTTGAGTAGATTTTGCTGCTGGGGTTTTCCATTTCTAACGCTATTTCATTTTTGGATTTTCGATAGAAAAAGGAGTGGAATGGCTAAAAGTAGGCCATAAAAAGAAAAAAATTTCGATTTTTGTTTATATTTTTATATTTTACTATATCCATGCTTAATGGAACTGTGGAAGTGATCAGAAGACGGCAACTAACCGTGGATGTGAGTACGTGGGTGAAGCTCATTGGTCAGACGCGAAGTCAACAGAGAAATGGTGGAAGACTTTGTCATAGAATGGAACACTACTGGAATTTTGATGCATTTATTTTCCCTCATCTTTTAATTAGTAAGATGATTAGTGTTAACATCCATTAGTGAGAAGACTAATTGAAGGTCTTGAATGATAGAAAAAGACTTGAGAAGCAATCAATGGCTCTAATCAACAAAAGGCTCCAATCTTTGTGACAAAGACTACCAAATAAAGAGAACAAAGGTAAAAATTATGATGATTAATGCTGTAATGGGCTAATCCAAAGCAATATTTGATGTACTAAGAATACTAAAGCTAGGGATCATTCGTGCCTCAATGGGGCCCTCTTCTTTTTTTTTTCTTTTTCTTTTTTCTTTTGGTGATTTGATTAAAAGAATTCCTTGTATTCTACTGCCACGTTGCCAATTTGCATTATCATAAATTTTAAAAGATAAGTATCAAAATTTTGGTTTTATTTTAAAGTAGTAATGTGCTCATTTCATTACTCTTTTTAAGAATACCATTTCTTAATTAATTAAACAATCGAGGATTGACTTTTTGTTTGTTCATTGAATTACACAAATGAAGATAGAATTTTTTTGTTTTCTTTTTTTTTTTAAATGTTAAAAACACTAACATACTATCTCTGTTTTTTTTTTTGAATGATTATTATTGGAAAAAAAGCCAAAGTAAACGAATATTCTTGAATGAGGAGTACCCTGCCTTGGAAATTTAGGGCTGTTGGAGTATCCAGTATATATATATATATATATATATATTACAAAGCATGAAAAAAATGTTCAATCATCCACAAAATTCCAAATTTTTATATTATTTTCAAGATATAATATTTTTTTGT